GGTTTCCTTTTTTATTATTTTCTATAATACTGGCCATGTGATTTATTGAAAGCTAACCGCTCATTCATAACTGAGATGTTCTAAAGATTGAAGTCAAAGATCCTAAGGGATATGCAAAGTTAGAACACGTAAAGGAAAGAAAGGAAGAAAGGGAGAAAGGAAGGAAGGAGGAAGAAAAGAAGGAAGGCAGGAAGGCAGGAAGGCAGGCAGGCAGGCAGGCAGGCAGGCAGGCAGAAAGAAAGAAAAAGAAAGAAAGAAAGAAAGAAAGAAAGAAAGAAAGAAAGAAAGAAAGAAAGAAAGAAAGAAAAAGACATGACAGGCAGACAATCAAAATTTGAAATTCAAAAATTTCTTGTAAAATATATTTGTACCTGGCTTACTACTTCAGTGGACAAAAAAATTATAGCCTTAACATATGAGTTAATCACTTCTTGCCTGTCTTGCATGATCCATATTTATAAATAAATTTAAAAATATATAATAAATAGATATAATAAAATAAATTATAGGGATTTTCAGATATATTCATTTAGTCATAGATTAAACAACAGAACAATGTTTCAGTCACTGGGGAAAAATGCTCCCTGAAACATTAATCCAAGGGCAATGTTTAGAAAATTGTGATATGATATGAAATTTACTTTATCTTATTTTATCTCTTTCCTGTCTTCCAATACCCACTAATGCTTACAAATCTTTAAAATGCAAAATTGTTTCATTATAGATGACTGTGCTTTTTATAGATTAGTAACAATAAGGTTGAAAATATAAGTTTTGCTTGATATACCTTTCTTTAAATTTTATGCCAGGGGCTGGGAATGGCAGTGTATCAAAAACTGGGTTAAATAACCCTAAGTTATTGCAGGCTGGTCAGGCCTTCAATCTCCCAAGCAAGTGGACGGCGAATGTTTAAATAAATGAGACAATGGCAATGACTTTAGGGCTCCAGGAGGGACTAACTCTCTTACAGCTTCAGTACTCTCTGAGTTAGCCAACAACTTCTCTGGGTAGCCCGTATTTATTTGGTTTTCAAAAAAAGCAGAAGCATACTCAAGAAAACGCGGGAATCTTGTGGGACCTTGGGAGAATTTTCCCAAGTAGTAAATTATGTCAGTTAGGAGAATTACCTTATCTTTAAGTATATTGGTATTTATTGTAGGAGTGTGGGGCCTGCAGCTGCAGTCTCTTTGTAGTAATTTAGGTTGGAGCTAAATGTCTTCACTGTGGCCTTATCTTGTCAGACAAGGTGCCTAAGCTTCAGACAACTCACAAATAAACATGGAAAGCCAATTGGTTAATATTGAATCCTGCTCAGAGCGACTTTGTAGTGGTCCCCAATAATGGTGCATGCCTGTTATCCCAGCCCTCCAGAGGCTGAAGCAAGAGGATCGTTGCAAGTTTAAGACCAGCGTGGGCTACAAAGTGACCTTAAGGCCAGCCTGAACTGCATAGCAAGACCCTATCTCAAAAAGACAAAAATAAATAAATAAATACTATTCTAGGCAGAGTGGTGCACACCTGTAATCCCAGCACTATGGGAGGCTGAGACAGAAAGATTCCAAGTTGGATGTCAGCTTAGGACATTCAGTGAAACCCTGTCCCAGAAATAAAAATTTAAAAAGTTGCAGTATACCTCAGTGATAGAGCACTTGCCTAGCATGCATGCAGCCCTACGTTTGATCCCTTGAGCTACTAAAAGTAGAAACCAAAGATTTTGTTTGTTTTAGGTCAAATGTCAGAAAATTTAGGTCAAAATTGACTCTCCTAGTAGAGCAAAAGTGGCAAGAAAAAAAGAGATACCAGTCTTCTTTTAATCTGTGAAATGTAAAAAAACATTCCAATAATGTTAAAAACATGGCCAGGTGTGGTGGTGCATGCCTATAATCCCAGCACTTGGGAGGCTGAGGCAGGAGGATTGTGGTGAGTTCAGGGCCAGCCTGGGCTACAAAGTGAGCTCAAGACCAGCCTGAACTATATAGCAAGACCTTGTCTCAAAAAGATTAAAAAAAAAAAAAATAGGTAAGATATTCAGGAGTCATGAATGTTAGACTCTTTCATGTCACTTGTTCTGTCCCTAAAGTATCAGTTGGTGTCCACAAATCCTATCAGCCAAGAGGAAAAAGTGTACTGCAACGACTATTACAGGTTAACTCTCAATTATCCTCAATTTTAGTTCTACTTTTTGCATTGCAGAATGATTCTAAGCACCTCTAGGATTTTGGTAGCGTCAGATGGTATCTTTTTATTTTCTTCTAGAGTTAAAAGAAAATAGCAATTTAATTATTAATTTGTATAATTTGCATTTTTCTTCTTTCCCAGTTTTGTAAAATATAATACCAAAGCTAATAAAAATTCAGGCCTACCTTTCCTCCAAAGAACTGATACATGGTTAATAGCACATGGGAAGGAAGCCAACCCATAGCTCCCTAAAAGCTATAAAAAGCCTGGATCACTTTTTCACATGCAAGCTTTGTTTTGGAAGCACACAAAGCACATTTGAAGTAGGATGGAAGAGTCTGTGACATAGACAGCACGGGCTGATTCTAACAGATGGATTTTCCTTGAAATAGATTCATTAGTTAATCATTTCTTTTACATATACTTTTTCTAGCTAATTGGCATTGCTGCCAGCTGGAACTGTTAAGGCTCCTCCAAAGGAGCCGATAGGTAAAGAGAAATCCCCAGTTTCTTCCATTTTGAGAAAAAACTTTTATTAATGTCACATGTACAGTTCATGTATTTTTAAAGTAAAATATTTTACTATTTTATTTACTTTTTTTCTTTTATTCTGGAAACCTTACTTTAACCTGTGTCAAACTCAAATTAATTATGATGATGAAACTAAATTTTAATATATTACCTGGGCCAGATTTCCTAATCTGGGCACTATTTACATTATGGACTTGATAATATAAGCTCTCTCTCTCTCTGTCTCTCTGTCTCTCTCTGTGTGTGTCTCTGTCTGTCTGTCTCTGTGTGTCTCTCTCTGTCTCTCTGTGTGTGTCTCTGTCTCTCTCTGTTTCTTTTTCTCTGTCTCTGTCTCACTCTCTCACTCTGTCTCTCTGTCTCTGTCTCTCTCTCTCTGACTTTCTTTCTATGCTGGGTTATCTTGTATAGTAGGCTGCTTAACCATATCCTGGCCACTCTTCAAAAAATGCCAGTAGCGCCCAAACTTTGAAAACCAATAATGTCTCCAGATATTGCCAAATATGTCTGGGAGCAAAATTGTCCTAGTTGATAATTATTGCTGTAAAAGAAGTTGTTCTTAAATTATAACTAAATTTGTAAAATAATTTAAAAATAATTTAATGTATGTATGTACAAATATAACTCTACATATACTGCAAGTATTAGGAACTGCTGCTTTTTGGTTAGGCAATTAAATCTTTTGGGAGGAATTATTTAAGTAACTAATGCTTTCATAAATTTCTCTAGGTAAAAAAAAAGAAGGAAAAGGAAAAAGAAAGAAGGAAATAGTGGCTTAAAACTGCCAGTAACTATTATCTTCATCTAAGAATGCCCTCACAGTCTTCATCATTGAGAGTATGAAGGATTTCTTTTTCTTTGTGGAAAATCCTCAAGATCATAGATTACAAAATTATATGGTGAGATCATTTGTGGTATAAATGATCACCACCAGTTCAGCTGCTTAAGGCATCTTTTCAATAAAAGAAATTAGTATAATTTAATAAAACGGACATGAAGAAAGTGAGTAGGTATTTATTCTAACTTTAGTGTATATGAGTGAAGTGATTTATTTAGGGCTTGTATGGTGTTAGTCATTCTGATGGAGAAATTTCTTGATCTTTGAAATTAAATGGCAAAAGTAGTTTTCACCATCTTAAGGACTTATCTGTTTATATATCAATGGATCTTGGAAGAGTGCTATAAAAATAGGCTCTAAGTTACCTTTAAAAGAAAATCAGTGACTTTATTCCAGTTTGCATTGAAGGAGAGAGTATAACATCTTCAAGTATGTAGAGAGAATCATTTCTGTTCTTAGAAATAGGTCCTAAGTTCTATTTACATTGCTTTCTTCTCCTTAAAGCTTTTCTGATGCAGCCTTCCTCAAGGTGTCCCAAAATGAAGGCTACGTTTTGATATTTAACAATTCTATATGGAAATGTTTAATTTTTGTCATTAAAATCAAAGTTTTTACCTAAAAATTCCATAGTGGTCTCTACTCCATTAGAATTCCTGGCCCCATTTTCAGGATTCAGATTTTACACTCCTTAAAAAACCATTCACTCATTCATTTTATTTATTTATTTATTTATTTATTTATTTATTTATTTATTATTTTAATACTGTCCTCCTGCCTCAACCTCCCAGAATTCTGGGATTGCAGGTCTATACCACCATCCCTGGTTGCTCCTCTTTGTAATGTTAATAATGTACAGATTGTCCATGTTAATTCTTCAGATCCACATTCAGAATACACTATTTGTTTAGCTTATTGAGAGTAAAATAATGCATGGCACATTTTGCCATCTGAAAGAAAAGGAACACACATCACATGTGCTGTGCTCTGCCTGTCTGTCACGGTCTTTTCATTTTGCTTTTGATCCTCACTCTAGGCTTCCTGCACCCTCTCTCTGCAGCTGTACACCTTGCACGCTCACCCTCTGAGGTCTGAGACCTTGCACACTCTCATTGACTGAAGCCCTAGACCTGCACACTCACTCTGTGAGGTCTTAGACCTTGCACACTCACTCTCAGAGGTCCATGACATTGCAGACTCACTCTCTGAGTTCCTAGACTGTGCATATGACCAAGACCCTGCACGCTCACTCTCTGAGGTTTTAGACCGTGCACACTCACTCTCTGCACCCTAGACCGTGCACGCTCACACCCTGAGGTCCTAGACTTTGTACGTGCACTCTCGGAGGCCCTAGACCTTGAACGCTCACTCTCGGAGACCCGAGACCTTGCTTGCTCGCTCATGGAGGGCCTAGAGCGTGCACGCTCACTCTCTGAGGTCCCAGACTGTGCACACTTACTCTCTGCCGGCTCTTTGGACCGCCGGCCGCTGGACGACTTCCTCAGCAGCAGGCTGCGTCCTGAGGTAAATAGGCTGGTCAATTCTTCCAAGGGACTTGTGGGCGTTCGGGATCGAGACCCGCCGGGAGCCGCCCCATAGGTGTTCACCGCGGCGTGGACCATCTTGGCCCCGTCCTGGGACACGGGCCGCGGGGTGGCAGGAGGCACTGAAGACGAGCCCCGGGAGAGGCTGCCGGCGTGCACGGCGGCGTCGTAGGGGGGCGGCCTCTTGAGGCTCAGGGGGGTCAGGGACCGGCCCATGCTGACAGGCGATGGGGAGGTGGAGTGGCTTTTAGGGTAGCCGTGGGGAGACTGCGTTCGGTACAGAGTGGAGGGGGGCGGCGGGGACGAGGACAGCACAGCCGCGCCTGGAGCGGGGCCCAGGGCTCCGGCCGGGTCCTTGTCCAGCTTGGCGTGGCCGGAAGGTGGCGATGCTCCGGCGGGTGGTGGCTTCATGTAAGACACGTTTTCCAACACGGGGAGCTTGGTGACCTCCAGGGGTGTCAGCGGAGACTCGTCGGAGTTGGGGGAGCAGTGTACGGGAGCCGGGGGGAACACGAGCAGCGGGGGCCTGTGAGAAAGCAGGTTGGGGAAGGGCGGGGGGATGTCACAGAGCAGACCCCGGGGCGTGCACGGCACTGAGGACTTGGCCGAGTCCGAGTCAGGCACCGTGGGCGTAGCACACTGCGAGGAACAGCTGTGATGGTCCAGGTCACACTTGGGATCCTGGCCCAGGTCGTCAAAAATGGGGTACTTCATCTCCTCGTAGACAGCCTCGCTCTGGTCGTCCTCCTCCCTCCTGAAGTCTCTGAGGATGTTGCCCACCATCTCGATGTACACGGGCTCCTCCTCCTCGGGGTCCCCGGCGGGGCTGCTGACCTGCGAGAGTGAGGAGTCCCGCGTGAGCGACGTCCTCCGTGGCTCGTGCTTCTTGATGTAGGTCTCGTCAAAGGAGGTGCTCAGCTGAGTGTTGGGGTTTCTTTTCGGCTTCGGAGGGGGGATTTTCTTGGAGTATTCATCGCTGTGGGGTCTCGGTTTGGCTGACACTGAAAGATGAAAAGAGTAGTAAAATACTTGAATATAATAGGAAAGTTTTGAAAAATGATTTGCACTTAATTCTCTAAAGTTTCTACAGGAGCGGTCAACTTCATTTTTAACTTGAGACTCACATCAGAAATGAACTACAGAGTCAAATGTTCCCATCTTTAGAAAAATCGGATGCACAGAATGATAGGAAGGATGGACTGACTAATCCAACAGATAAGTGCATTAAAGCCAAGGCTACCTCTCACTCCTTTACTTAGAATTCTTAAAAGGAAATGAAGCTTGTTGGATAACAGGAATAGTAAACTTTATAATAAATATACTTGCAGGAAATAAGTGAGAAAGAAACTCAGGAGAATAAAAAGAAATCCAGTGTCTGTTAGCACAAAGGGTCACAAAACCACCACAGAGTTGAGCCTTTTTACTGATGTGGATGTTCCACACGATGATATCTCGCTTTCATTTAGGATAAACATTCCCTGGTCTGCTAGACTTACTTAATCTCTGTCTTGGTTCAGATAAATACCTTGCATGAAGACACATCCAATACTTCAAGGAAATTGATGTAAAAAATCTTATGAGGCTAGACAAGTTAATCTCCAAATCTGCAGGTATTGTCGATTATGGTGTATTTGTCTGTTTTTGTTCATAAGATCTCTTACGATAGCCCAAATTCTGTCTTGAAATGAATTTATGAGACATATTCCACTGACACATTAAAACTCCCTGGAGAGTTTTAAAAGACAGTTACCCAGGGAATGATGTATGAGCTTCAAGAATATCTGCTGGAAACTCACAACAGATCTGTGTACCAAGGCATCCCCCTTCTGCAATCTCCCCCTGTAGGACAGAACATTAACTTCTGACACCATCCAATAAGGTGGAGGAGGCCAGGAAGTGCCTCCCGCTGCAATCCATTGTTTAGCATGCAAGGAAGGTACTGGAGTCATGTTATTATCTCATTATCTCATTGTGTTGATACATGATTATAATGATTATCATCATTATGCAATGTGACAGAGTGTAGTCACTTACACTAGAAGGTAGCATGCAATGTAAGTTGACAAAACTGGAGGAAATAATCAGGCTTCTCCATGACCCACATTCTAAAGAGAGGAAGGTTTCTCAGGGCACAAATCATCACCCACTAATTTTCCTTTGTTTTTCAGAAGTGGCATAGCTTATGACTTAAGATATTTTCTAGAACTTACTTAAGAGGAGGAAAGTGCTTAAGGGTTAGTCAGGTGGCTGCTGTATGCATGCATCTGTCTTCAACAAGAGAGAATCAATGCAGTACTTCGTTAGTGAGTCTGTATTTCACTTTGCTAGGTTACTTATGATTCGTTACTTAGTTCCATTGTACCCATCATGGTCATTTATTCACTACAATCAAACAGCTGTTTGAAGAGAAGTTTCCTAATATATCCAGACTTTTATTTCCTTTAATGCATATTAGCAAACTCATTTACCAGAGGACTATAGCAAGTGAAGTCCTGTAGTTCCCAAAATAAAGTGCCTAAATACATACTGAAGTGAAAACTGTCCAATCAATCATTCTTTAGGAATTAGCAAAGCAACCAATAGCTCTCCCTGTACCACCCACTGTAGTATAAATATTACTGGCTCTGAAATCTATCATACATCTTAATTTTCATATGAATTAAATAAATCATCATGTTATTAAAGTCTAAATTGATGAGAAAAGACTATGAATGAAAGGTTTATTTGATTTAGTATTGGAAGGATTTTGAAAAGATCAGGACTTAAAAGAATGAAACCCATCCAGACTATTTTTTGACTATTCTTTTGCAGTCATCCCCAGCCATAGAGATAGACTTACTCTAGTCTTTATACTAAGTAACTCAGAGTCTGGGAAGATATTTGCAACTGACTGGTAAGTTTTAAAGATTGAATTTTGGGATGCAGGAGAAACATTCAGGGTAGTGAGGTGCTCTACAAGTGGGTGATTAACCTAAGGCTAAGAAATTGGGTATATCAGTGAGATGGGTAGTTGCATAATATGGGAACAACACATGTAAAGTAGGATTTTTATTCTTCTGCCTTAAACATAAGCAGTCAATGATAGATCTGGAAGAAGTATGATATGCAGAGAAGCAACATCACATGGACAAACCTAGGGACCACATCTCTCTTTCTCACATTAATGATAAAGTGTCCTTAGGAATAGGTGAAACCAGTGTTTGAGTTATCCTCATAGTGTGAATAAAACGTATTTCTTTTGTTTGACAAAGAAATGTAGAAAAAATAAAAGAAAGTTCCTTTGTATCTATGAAATGATTGTAGCAAGAGAAGTTTTTATGTTAGAACACAACATACCTAGATTTAAGGTGGAACAAATGTACATAAGAAAGAATCTGAATGACCCATTCACACTATGAGGACAATTTTAATGTCAAACCAATTATGACTATTGTCTACCAGGAAAAATCAGAAAGAACATATGACTCTTAGGGTGACTATAAGGTGATCACAGCTGATATTAATTGAACTGTGTTCCTCTTCTCAACAACCACAAGTTCTATGTTGAAGCCCCAACATGATGGCATTAATGCCTCCTTCAGCAGATAGGTAGGTTTAGATAAGGTCATAAGCGTAGGGCCCTCATGAGATGATTAAGAGAAAATAGTCTTCTCTCCCTCTCCCATCTCTTTTCTCTCTCCAAAATGCACAGGAATTGGTTTACAAACCAGGTAAAGATTCCTCACCAACACAATACTTTATTTATTTGTATATTACTGGATCTTTTTTGAGACAGGTACCAGACTAGCCTTGAACTCATGGCAGTCCTCCTGTCTCAGTCACCTAAGTGCTGAGATTGCAGGCATGAGGCACAACATCTAGCTAGAGAGAATACATTTCTAGAATTTAAATCACCCATTTATGTCTCTTGGCTGCCTGAACCACCAAAGTCACTGAAAAATTTCTTGACCCTTTACAGTTGGAAAGGGAGCGCCTACTTTCATTTCATTCTCTGGCACTGGAATACTTTAACTATCTTTGTTATTTTAAGAATTAGTACAATTTTTTCCTAGGCAGCCTTTTAAATTTCTCCTGTCCTTTGTCGCCTGCCCTCTTACTTCCTGCCTCAATGTCCTACCTGTGTATGAAGATACCCAACCCTGACACTTGCCCAGGGCCACCCTTCCCATACATCCTCCTATTCTGCCTCTTCTTGGTCAGATTCTCTAACCTCAGTTTGTGCCAAGACGCACAGTACTTAAACCTGACCCATCTTTAGATGTCCCTTGTTTATTCTTGTCATTTCGTTTAGCATATTTGCTCACTTCTGTACTCTAATCCACTTCCTCTGGAGCTGGACGGCAATTCTCTAGGGGAATCCCTCCTTATCTAGGCAGGCTTCTTGCCCCTTCCACTCCCTTCTGTCCCTGTTGAACAAAGCCTAATGCATGCAGATTTATATAATTCAAGCAATTATTTTCCTGCTCTTCCTCCTAGGTATTGACCAATTTTTTAAATGGAAGAATTGAGAATTATTTAGAGAATAGAATGTTAACTAAATTGCAGGTGACCCAGCTGAATAAACACATCCATTCCTTCAAAACGGGAGCTTTTTATCTGCACAGTCTGATTTTTACTCAACACTCCTCTTATAGTCTCATAATTATCTCTGGAAAATCAAAGCACAAAACAGTTTGTTTCCTCATATACTGATATTTCTCCTCATTTATCATGGTGCAAATATTTAGTAAATAATTGTAAAGCAATGAAAATATGTTTCAACTGTCATATGTATGCTTTTCAAAAGTTTATATAAAGAAATGTCTGAAATTTTAGGCAACATCTCATAATTTATTCTAATTTATATTCACTCAAAGAACTTCAAATGCAAAAAAAAATCATGTTAAAATGTAATTTCTTTATAAGGTACTTAAAATAGTCTCAAACTCCACACTTACATGCTAAAATACTGCTAAGACAAAATCTGCATTGCAAATTTCAACATGTAACCTTATTCAACCAAAATAAAAAGGTGATTTGTGTCACTTTTAAATGAACTTTAAATTATTTCTAATAAGCCCAAAGATAAAAGCAATAATTCCTGTTCAGCTCCAGAACACAAATTTTAGTGCTTAAAATAGCATAATGACAGTAGCATTGAATAAGCAGAAAGTGACATTTTTGAAATGAGATATTTGAACACAAAGGTTATGCATGGCTTTCAGTCACGCCTAGATAATCTGTCTTTCACAGTTAATTTTGGAAATTTGCCATGTCCTTTGTCAATCTATCCTTCAGAAATACATTTTTCTTATTAGAAGCTGTAACATTAAATCATGCTTTAGTATCTGTCAATGCTCTTGACTTAGGGCATGACAAATAGACACAACAGAGGTCAATATTTCCTCCCATGGAAAAACTCGGTGACCACAGGGTCCTAGAAATTGAAGGGCCCTTAAAGACTGTCAAGGCTGAACTCCATATATTACTGGAGAACAAATATGAATTCCTTAACTTGTGCATTTTAAAGGAAAATCTCATATTTTAAGCCTTGTACATCCTTTGTAATGAGGAGAACAAGGAGAGAAAAATCTGTCTCATTCATGATTTTATTCATGGCACAGAGTATCATTAAAAAAACACAACTTTCTGTCTACACTATAAATTCAGAACAATAACTTTGTATATTCTGCCACAGGCATATATTTAAGTAAGCAACTCAAAGTGGGAAATGCCATCTATTGGAGGGAAATGATGTCCACACTGTGCGATACTGGAACAGGCTGTGTCTCAAGGTGAGAGACGCATTTCCCACATTCAGCGGAATTGTGCTCACAATAGCACTCTTTCACAACTCACACTTCCTCAGCTTTGAGAGATATTTTTATTTTCACAAGTCCCATAATACTATCCACGATTTTCTTAAAATTAAAATGTTAGTTCAGGGATGAAAGTTTCAGATTCTCTTGGTCTGTTCACAGTAGGAACAAGAAAATATGTTCTTGTAAGAAAAGTATTGGTT